AAATGCTAAAACTGAATTGCTTAAAAAGAACTGATAGTATATATAAGTTCAATGTCCTAACGAACATTCAGTATTTTTAATCACATTGATAAATCATATTATAGATTTTTAAGGGAGGAAAAAGTCTGACTTAGGGACAAGCATGATTTGTTTTCTTAATTGAAGGATAAACTCATAACATACTGAGAAAAAAATCGTTATGTTATATAGTACGTTAGGAACATAATGTATTAAAGTGCAGTCAGAATATGAGGACAGCTACAATGATAAGTTTTTGCCTGCATTTTTAATATGCTCCATTCTGAATCTGTTCTCAGATTCATGCACAAATAACAACTATAACCCTTAAAATTTAATCTCTCCCTCTCTCAACATCTTGAAGTATCTGAATGGTATTTTAGCATCTATGCAAGGAAGGGTGTGATGAGAAATCTTCCTATTACTCTTAGTAGAAAACAGCAAATCTTTGCACTTAATACATACTGCAGTCAGTAACGCTTTAGCTTCCCAGACAGATATAATTAAAAATGCAAGTACTGTGTGATATCCATTATCACTAAAGACATGGGGAAAAGTTCTGTTTCCATATGAACACAACTGAATGGCCACTGATCCATGATTCTTAATTGAGCAAACTGTGAACTTGTATTTTGATTGCCCCCCCTCCCAAACTGTTTTGTGGGGTTTTTCCTCCTTCTTCTTGCTCCCTGGTCAACCAACAGAATATTCCACTTGAGCGATGGCAGGGAAGGACAAAGTCAACAGTTTACAAAACTCATGTACTTTATTCCTAACTCCCTTAAGACGAAATGCTATCAAATGACAATAAATCATCACCAAACTGACCACTTCTAATTTATTTTGTTATATTGTGTTGGGAGATAAAATCATGCTACAAATTGTGCCTAGTCTGACTTCAGAATCTGGAGCTATGATTATTTTTTTAATTAAAAAAATAATTTCTACACATTCTTCTGAATTTAAGTGGTTTAAACCATTCTCTATCTGATAACTGATTAAGAAGAGGGATGGGGACTTTGCAATCAAACGCCAGCTCCCTACTTTAACATCCTTCTTTGTAAGTAAAGCCTTGAATGGATCTGCCCATCACAGCATATCCCCACGAGTATTCTGTTTCTATGAAGGAGATCACAGTAGTCGAGATTAGTAGTAACCTTTTGATTTTAGCCCACCGAAGGGTGAAATGTATTAATATTAAAAATGCAGCAGAATTTTTTGTGACCTACTCTCATAGATCCATATATTACGTCTCTCAAAAGATTTTCCAATTAGTTCAAAAGAGGTGATTTCCTTAAAATGAGAATTTCACTTCTTTTTAAGACAAGACTTCATGACACAGAAAATAGAAGTTAGAGAAAAAAAGCACCTTTAGAAGCATCAGCCTTGTCTTCAATCAGTGAACTGTCTTTTCTTAAAAGGAAAAAAAAATGCCATCCAATTTCTTTTTTTCATAATGGCAAACATCAACACAGCAAAACAGGATGCAATTTTTCTAAATAAATAAATCAATGATGTGTCAAAAATTAACAGATGAGTTAATATACTCGGTGCTATCAAAACCAGATGGTGCTTCCTAATATTCATCCTGCTCAGTCAATCCCTGAATATTTTCTGGACCATCGGTATATAAAATAGGATGCTGCTATTTGTGATGGCAAACAAAAGCAATCATGCCTGCCAAGCACATACTATAACAGGCAGCATTTCAGCTCTGCTAGACAGAAAGTAATTAGAATGCTTTTAATGTCCAAAAGAATGATGCTGATAGGCTGCCACAGATGTGTAGATTTATGAATATTTATATGGTGGTTTATAGCTGACACTTTTATCAGTTGAAGAAGATAAAATATCTGCCTGACTCAAAAGCTTGACAGTCAGGTTAATAAAATCTCATTAAAGAGAATGACCTATGCAATTATATAGGATTTATTGTAATTCATTTTTGATTGTACTCTGCTTAAAGATGCAATTTCCCATTTCCTGATGCCAAATTTAGGCTGCATATCAAGATCTACGTGGGTTTTAACTCTAAGCCTCCCACAGAGGAAAAATATGCCTTTAAAACCAAAGTATATTACCCCTTTTAAGGAAAATTATACTCTTCTTGAGATTTCCTAAGAATGTTGAAAAATCCATTTTTAATCATGTATTTCTTTTTTCAATGGTTTATGGCCCTATGTGCCAAATAAGATTCACTTCAACCTTTTCCATCATTTCACTGGTTTTACTATGGTCATTCAGTTAAAGTCTTCCATCCTTAACTTATTTCACCACTTTGACGTTCTGACTTCAGTTTCCTAAATGGCACATTGGTGAGGGTGCCATAGGCAAACCACCTCCACCACCACCAGCAGCTAGAATACCTAAGGGGCCCTCTGTTCATACACATGTGCTCATTGGTTCAAAGTGGAACCACTAGCTTCTCAAGGAACCAATCAGCTCTTCAGGAGACTGTTCTTCTGATGGCTACTTATTACTGTGTTAACATGAGGCTGATTTTATGATTGCAATTTCTGATGTTTAATACATACTGTGTGGTCTCTTTCCACCCTCACCCTGGATCCCTTTCACTGCTTCATGGAAGAAACCTACCATCCAGTTTCCATCTTTCCAATAAGTACAGTCTTCCTGCATTTGATGGTATCAAGCTTGACTTCTAAGCTATGACTTCTCTTAAAAAAACAAAAACAAGATTACGAAGTAGTAGCAACAAGGGGACCAACAAAGCTCTTTTTACTCCTTTAAGATTAATGACTTTATGCTTTCTACCTGGACACAGACACAAAGAAACCCCAAAGAAGATACCAGAAGAAACACTAAAAAGAAATACACAAAAATAAAACATGGGTGGGGGATGACGATGACTCTACAGTGATTAAAAACAGGAGGAAGAGACAAACTGATAAAGTAAGAGGGACCCACTGTGCTGCCATCCTGAAGGCACACGGTTCAAATCCACCAGATGCTCCGCTGGAGAAGGAGGGACAATCTCTTCCTGTGCCAGGTGGATCCGAATCAACGGTGCACAGCAAGGAAAAATAAAGCAAAAGAAAAAAAAAGCAAGAGGAAGGAACCATGGAACACACACAAGAAGTAACAAGAAAGGAAAAGTAGCAAGGAAAAGAAAAATTGAACCTCTGGCTAAAAATGGACAAGGAGAAGCAGATGTAGAGCATATAAACAGAAAATAAGACTGAAAGGCAATCAGCAAAGATTGGGAAAGACAGCAAGATGGAAGGCAAGTATCTTAAGATATCAAAGCCTAATCTCAACAAGTAAAGACAGGAGAGTGGGGGTGGGGTGTGGGAAACAAACCAACCACCAACAGTGAGCATGATGCAGCGGAGATCAGGAACAGGAGGCAGAACAATACGGAAAATGGGAGGACTGGCAATTCCAGAAGACATAAAAATCAAGATGCCCTACAGATGGTGAACAAACCTGAGCAGGAGCAGTACAGAGCAAGCAAGACCCCAAGCCTTCTTAGGAAGTGGGGTGCTGGGAAAACTAGAAAGAAAAAGAAAGGAAAAGGGAAGTAAATGAGTGGCCTAACAATGACCTGTAAAACCAAAATCGAGTACTGGGCCAAGAACAACTGAAGAAAACCCATAAACAGTGAGGCCCACTTAGGAACCTCACTCCCAGACATCAAACATCTCCAAATCGGTGAGGGATGTGACAGAACAAGTCTTCACTCTAACCTGTAATTAGATTTTCTTTCTCAAAAGCAATCCTTCATGTGTCAAAATATTGACAAACAACAGAACATTAGCTTAGGCATCTATAACTCATTTAAAGACAATGCTCTTACATTTTCATTAGAAAAAAGGGACTTCGGATTTACTGTTTCAGAGAAATTGGGGTGGGGGGGGGCTCCAAAGTGCCACACAAGGCCTGAGCAGGAACTTTTTGTTCTAATGAGTGAAATGAACGTGTCTGCGGATCCCGGGGCTCCTTAGGCTGTGGCCTGGCCACAGTCCTTCTCCTTGCAGCCAACGGGCTGGAGAACTGGCTTTCTCTAGGGGCCGCCTGCGGGCTCCAGGGGAGAGACGTCCCTAGGATGTAGGGATGAGATGTTTCCAGAAGGGCAGGTCCCCTGCGGAGAGGAAGTCATTGTCGCAAAGGGAGGTGGGGCTTGCGCGTCAGGGTCTGGGACTCTCGAAGCTTGGAGGTCAGGGGGAGGGAGAGCCAAGTCCCTTGGCTTCCAAGTACACCGCTAGGCTACCTCGAGAGTGGTGCTGCGGAGGAGACAAGTGAAGTAAGCCCACCGGTTAAGACGAAGGGGTGGATGGGACTACACACTGTGAAGAAAGACATTAAAAACAAACAAACAAAACCCCAAGGCCAGCGCACGCGGGAGCAAGCACAGAAGTGCACATTAAAAGCAAAGGAAAACACACACAGCGCGGCACCAGCAAGCCTGAGAGCAGTGGGCAGGGCACGAGCGCATCAAGGAGAGGGGCAAAGGAGCAAAAATAAACTAAAAAGACCGGAAAGCAATGAATGAAAAAGGATGAAGAAGAAATAAAGGAAAAGTGGGAGAGAAAAGTAAATAAAGCAGTGGAGGTTAAAGGGGAGGATGTCCCTAGCTTTTCAAAGAGACGCTGAACACCTTGCACACCCCTGGGCATGCGCTCCCCCACCCAGGTCCGCGGCCTGGGCGCCGGCGCCACCGCGCGTCCTGGGCGCCCATCCGAACCGCAGAGCCACCTGTTAGGAGGCGCGCGTCCCGTCGGAGGCTCGGGACGCGGCGGCGGCGGCGAGAGAGTCCTTCAGAAGTTGCTGCCTGCGCGCAGGGCGCACGGCCAGGCTTCCGAGATGCGCTCCGACGGCCCGCGTCCCTCCGCCCGGTGCGCGCGCCCCTCTCCGGAGCCGGACGCGTGAGAGCGAGCCCTCGGCCCATTCCAGCCTCTCCTCCTCCTGCACCTCCCCGCCCCTCGGCCGCGCCGGGAAGTAAAGTTACGTCCAAGAGTTGGTACCTGTGCTCAGCTCCAGGCTGCCGCCGCCGTCGCTGCCCGCGCCGCCGCTTCCCACTGCCGCCACCGGGCCCGGGCCGTACCTGACCACGGCGGCGAAGGACGACGACGACGACGACGAGGCGGCGGGGGAGGCGGGCGGCGGCGCCGGAGTCCTCAGGTGGCCCTGGGACGCGGCAGGCGTGCAGGACGGCGACGACGACGAGGCGGCGGCCCGGCCGGGCCCCGCGGGGAAGGAGCCCTGCGCCTGGAACTGCTGCTGCTGCTGCTGCGGCGGCGGCTCGCTGCTGCTGATGGAGACCGGGGCGTGCGGCGCGAAGGGCGGCGGGGGCGGCGGGGGCGCCCGGACGTGCGGCAGCTCCACCAGGGTGGGTCTCTCGTAGCGTTTGACCAGAGCCGGTCTCTTGCCCGGGAAGGTCTTGAGGACACTGTAGGGGCTGCGCTGCTTGTAGATTTTGGGGACGCTGGGCCCCTCCTCTGCCGGCTGCATCTCCTCCTCCATCCTGTGCCTCGGCGCCGGGGGCCCCCTAGGCGCGCCCCCTCCCCGCCGGGCGCCGGGTCCGAGGGTGCCGCCGCCGCTGCCCGAGTGCGCGCGTGTGGGAGGGTGTGTGTCTGTGCCGTGGCCGCCGCCGCCGCCTGTCGCTGAGGCTGGCACCACCGAAACCCCGCGCGGGGGGCTGCCGCCCAAGCGCTGATTGACAGGCCGCCTCGCCAATGCCTGGAGGGAGAAAGGAGGTAAAGAGCAAGTGTTTAGGGTAATAGCTGCTAATGATAATAGGGGTCGGGGGCGGGGCCTGGCGCCGCCGGCGGCCGCCGAGTCTGCCCGTCAGGTCTGAGCGTTGGGCGGGGGGCCGGGGGAGGCGGGAGCCGGGACAGGGCGCCCCCACTACAAGTGGAAGGGGTGGTGACCAGGGCACCAGCCAGGGGAGAAGTGACTGCACGGCTTTGCTCAAAAAGACTTTGCTGTTTGAACTTTAGGTTTTTACTCCTACAGACAGTGTGTTCAGCTTCGGAGCGGGCCGGGCTTATGGTGACCCCTGACTGACCTCAGACTCGGGTTTGCACGCCAGCGGTGGTGGCTGTTAAGTCGAGGGTAGGGTGGTGAGGGTGCGTTTACGTATGAAGAAGGATTGCAGCGAGTTCTGCTCCCCTAACCTCTGCCAAAATCGGCTTAGTTGAGGACCGGTGTTTGCGCCTTTGGGCTCGACCCTTACCAAGCGGGTGTCTTCGGAACTCGCGTTGGACGTTCCCATTATTTGGTTCGTTTCCTCATGAAGTCCATGAGAAAGCGCGTAACTTCCTTATCATCATCCTTCTGCACGTGAGAAAACCGAGGTGTCAGGTGTTTGAAGGGACTTGCCCCAAATCAGACACTCGAAAGTGTGTGTCAGCTTGATTCCATCCCTCCCTCCTTCCTTCCTTCCTCCCTCCCTCCCTCCTTCTTTCCCTCCCTCCCTCCATCCATATCAGAATTCAAAGCCTCAATTCTCATAGACAGTTCTCCTTGCAAACAGAGGGGCATGTGACCTGACATCTGTCCTTTGGAATGGTGATAGGGTACTTCTAACCATGTCATTTTACACCTAAGAAAACAAACTTAAAATCCACCAGTTGCCTGTAATTTGACTTGGACTCATGGCCCCTCTGTCAGTGTTGGAGCTGAACTGTGCCCTTTCAGCGGCTGATTTCAGAGGGTGATCCCAGAATTTTCTTCCAGAGCACTCTTAATGCCCAGTCTGTTAACAGTCAAGCATATTAAGTATTTGCACAACTCAGACACTCCATTATGTGTGTGTACGTGTATATGTACTGGCAAGATGAGAGCTGTCTGAACAAAAAACCAAACCCAAAACTCACATCGTACAAGATCCATTTAGTGGCTCCCTGGATCTGGTGCCACCAAACTAAGATTTCTGGAGCACACTGACGTTAATAGTTGTTTGCAGGAGAGAGAAGAGTTTCACTGGTTTGCAGAATGGTATCTGTAGGGTAGGTTTGTCTTCAAATTCAGGGCACTGTGGGCATCTTCCAGCTACTCTTTGGAGCAGAGGGTGTATACGTTCCTCCCATCTCATATCACCACTTCCCTTGGCCAACTCCCATTCTCACACATTCCCACACATTCTCTCAAAGATCTGCTTTCTAGCCGCCTGTCTTCATTCTCTAGGTTATTGTGGCTCAGTCTCTTTCCTTGGATCTGCGACTCCTATCTTCTCCAGTCTGAATTGTATTTCTTTCCACCACTTTCCTTTTAGTCTTGGTAAAGTGACCCATTTTCTTCTAGTGATACAGGTCATTGACCACTCACTTCCCAGGTCTCTTTTCCTTTAGAAGCTTTTTTTCCACCTTCTTTGCTGGCGCAGCTGCTGTTTTCCACCATTCTGGACTATCTCCCTCTCCCCTACGGCCTCCTCAAATGGTGCTGCCCCCCCCTTCATTTATTAGAGATGAAATAAATAATGCCATAAATAAAAGTATTTGGGAGTCCAGGAACTGTCAGGGCTGATTAGGGCATAGAGGACATTTTCTTTCTCATTATGCAAAAGCATTTCATGGGGAAATAAAAGAGGTTTCATTGTAACTCATGCATGTCATATTTCAAGGAATTCAAGATATTAATCATATTTAACATTATTTGCAACGTTTCTCCCTGGCTTCTGAAAACTGCTAAATGAGGACACGTGGATCACTAGGAAAAAAGGGAGACAAGCATGAGAGGGACAGTTAAGAAATAATGAAATGCTGGTGAAAGACACAGAGGGAGAATGAGGTGCCAGAGAGATGTTTCTTAGGCATCTAAGTGAGAAATGGAGACAGCTGAAATTGAATGATATACTGGAGGAAATAAATGATAACAAGCCTCCCCACACTTTCCTTTCTAAACCCATTCTGAATTTTGCATTAAAATGTTACCCTCCCCCTTTCCTCCCAGATAATTTGCAAATAAGTCTTGGCTTCTGAAAGGAAGTGGAACTGATAGTGGTGTGGGAAAGGGTTAAAAGGTGAGAAATTCTTTGGTGCTTCCAATGGAAATAATTTCCTGTACCTGGTGGCTTTCTCTTAGGCTTCTGTATCTTTAATTTCTATTATCTGCATTCTTGTATACTCTTAGAGATTGGGAACACTGCTTCTGTTGTATTATTTTGTCACCTGAAAGAGACCTGCCATCCTACGCTTCATAAGGCAGCGGTTCCTAGGAGACTGGACACTTAAGTTAGTGGTTTTAGTGGGAGTGGGGGAGATGGGGAATAGAGAGGAGAAAGGGAGTTGTCAGAGGAAACATATATAATTTGAAAATAAGAAGGTTTCAGATCCTCATGCCTGATAGTCACCCATGTTTGGGTCCACAGATCAGTGAAATGTTTAATTGTCAGTCTTTAGCAAATGGACATTTATACCAAGTGTGGCGTTGAACTCAATTAAAAATTGTAACTGACCACTAATCGCTATTTAAGATTGTATTTAGCTGAGTGGTGAGCATAAATGTAATGGATTGAAGCATTTCTAAAATAAACTAGCATTCAGTAAGCATCTTGCTCTAAATTATAGTTATCAGATGGTTACTTTGTTGATATCTTCTTTTGAGAGTCTATTTATAGGGGTTGATAGGATGGTTGCTCCTCCCACACTTTAAACCTTTTGATATGTTTACTTTTATCATTTAACAAAAAAGATGAGGATGAATTTTTAAAAGCCAAATGACTATTTATGGCCAAGGTGATTTTTTGATTGGCAGCATGTCCGTTTCTTGAACCGTCTAGTCTGTAGCTTTTAAATAATAACATAGCCATGGGAAATGCTTTTTATTGCACCAATTTCAATGATATTTAATGAGCTTCTGATTGACTGTTTGATCTCCCAATGTTTTGTGCTACTTTTAATTCATTTTGTATAATAGAAAAAAAAAGTAATTGGAATAAAATTTTGTGACAAGATAATGACCTTCCACTTTGAAATTAAATGTCTGATTAGCTCCAACATTTTAATTCTGAGATGATATTGCAGCAGGAACAGGGGTGAACGTCATTCAGTAGAAAATGACTGAGAAAAACACTCCCTTGCTTTTCCCCATTGCATTACAAAATTGACACAGTGGCCAAAGAATTATAGACTCATGGGACTAGAAGGGGTTTTACAGTCCACTACCAACTGAGCTTTTGAAGGAGCGGGACTAGCAAGGGTTTTAAACACCAAAATTGTTATAGCATTAATTGATGGCCACCCCATATACTATGGAGTAAAACTACTCCATAGGGATTACTTGGTAAACCTTTTCTTTACAGAAGCTGACCAACAGGTCTATTGTTTGTGGCGTTGCTAAGTGGGTCTGAACCACCAACCAATAGGCTAACTAATAAGAAACTGAGCATCCTAGAGACCTAGAAGTCACATTGATGGTTTTTTATTCTGAACTATGGCCACTGTGTTTTCTTTTTTTTTTTTTTTCACTGTGTTTTCTAAGACTCTGTCAAGTGGTTTTACAGACTTAAACACCTTTAAAGATAGGCACTTCACTACCTTCTATATCATTGTTTACTCAGTTCTTTGTTCAGCAAATATTGATGGCCTAGTGGTAAGAAGCTGTGCTGCAGTCCTGAAGGTATGTGGTTCAAATCCACCAGCTGCACTACAGGAGAAGGATGGGTAGCCTCTTCCCGTGCAAGTTACTGTCTTTGAAAACTTGCTGCAGTAAGCTATGGGTTGGTTCTGACTCGATAGTACCCAGCAACAGCACTACTGTGTGAAAGAGAGGAAGACCCTCCATGAGATGGATTGACACAGAGACTGTAGCAATGAGCTCAAGTGTGTCAGAGATGGTGAGGACGGCACAGGACACGACAGGGTTCAGATCTTTTGCTCACAGTGTTGCTATCTGACATACTCGACTCAGTGGCACCTAACAACAACAGCAACAGTGATGTGCTGGGGTGCTCTGGATCTTAGTGTGAAGAGGTGCACTGTCCTCTGAGCAGCAAGTGGTTTGAATCCCCCAGATGTTCTGTGGGAGAAAGATGGGCAAACTCCTGCCAGGCAAGTGACAAACTCTGAAAACTCACTGGAGGGGTCAGCTATGAATTGGTTCTGACTGGACCAACTATGTGCTAGGTACCTTTCACCCTGCAATGGAGTGGAAGAGGTCACATGGAGATCCATACTGTAAAGACTTACTATTGTGAAGGGAGCTCTGGTGGTCTAGTGGGTAAAGGCTTGCACTAGCAATCTATAGCATGGGTTTCGAATCCACCTAGGGAGAAAGGTGGGCAGTGTCTGGTATGATTTATTGTCTCTGAAAATCTGCCACAGGGTCAGCTATGAGTCACTTCTTGACTCGATGACATGTAACAACTATGGTAAAATTTGCTTTTGGGTTGAGAAGTAGTGGAGACGCTAAATAAATTAGTAAATTACTGAACAAGACTATTTCAAATAAACACAACTGTTTTGTTGTTTGTTGTTAGTCACTGTTGTTTTTAGGTGCCATTGAGTCAAACACGACTCATA